ATTGCAAATTTGGTTTTATGAATGTTGTAACAAAGTTGATGGTTCAATTGCAATTCGTAAATCCAATCGAACGCCTAGAATATTCAATTGGGATATATCCAAAAACAAGATATATTTTGACCATCTCCAGAAAGGAATGTTCAGAAAACACGGCAATCAGGTAATAAAAGTTCTTTTGTTATTATTTATTAATTTTATTTTTTATGAGTAGTGTATATTCACAATTTATTATTATTGTGTTAGTATACATTTGAAGATCTTGTGTTCATGGATGAGGAGCTTCATATCATTGAGTCGGAAAATCTTACTGTTTTGACTGATATGCCATTCAATAAGAAGAGTAAACGTGATAGATATGTAAGGCAAAATCAGAATTTACAGACTCATTCTGTCGTTCGACAGAATGTTAAAGATTTGCCTCATAGTTCTGCACAGAAGGTTGGAAGTGATCCGAGTTTGTCATTTAATAAAGATTTGCAGAAAATTGCCCAAGAAGTTGTGAAGGTATGATTATAAATTTATTTACTTTCTGTCAGAATTTTGGTTGAAGAAACATTAATGTCATTTTAATCTTTGTTAGGTTCGTAATGAGTTGGAAAAGTTTGAAAAAAATGTAGATGCTAAGTTTGTTGAAATGAAGGTTTTTATGGATTCATCATTCAAATATATCATTCAAGAGTTGAAATCTCTTCATAATGATGTTTCAACCAACAAATATTTAGGTGGTGAACGGGTTAGTCTACTTATTAATATATGGACTTATTATTTACTTATAAACTAATTTTTAGATCAAGATTATTATAAATGTTAATATGGATACTTTGTGTTGATTTTAAATATTATTAATCTTCTTGTTGATTATATATCCGTAATTAGCTATATTGTTGTCTTATTGTAATAGTTGAATGACTCAAAATTTTATTTTTATTGAGAACATTAAGGTTGTTGTTGAGGATCAAAGAAAAGGAAATGTTGATGTTCAAAATGAACATTTGCAAGATTGTGGAGATAAAGATGGTGTCCAGACACCATCTTCGTTTTGTAATCGTGTTATTGATAACAATTGTAAGTTCTTTTTTGTTAGCTTAAACTATTTTTTATAACTATTTTTCGTTCATTTCTGATTTGTGTTTAAAATTCATAAAATATAGATACATAAATGATGTTTGTATATCTTAATAGGTGGTGTATCTGTTGATTTTGAAATAAATAGAAAAACTCCTACATTGGATGACTTTGTTATGCCTAATGTGCGTGAATCACAGTTGGTTGCTCTTGAAACTGGACAAATATACGTGTCATCATTGGTAGAGGTTGAATTTGAAAATATTTGTGTCACACCTTTGAAAGTTGCTAAAGCTGGAAAAACAAAGTTCAATCAGTTTGGTGTTATTGAGGGTGAAAACACATTTATCTCACCAGTTCAGCATGTTCGTACGAAGATTCTAGGAAAGTATGTCCAATCACCATACACAAACTTAAGTGAATCAGGTGGCACATCGGTGAACACAGTGAAGTACTGTTTATGGAGGCATCCTTTTGTAAATTGCAAGAGGTTTGATATGTACAGTGAAGTTATCCTTCAATTTAAGAAATGAGTTGATAGCAAATTATCCAAGAAACGTGGAAAGTATGTATTGTTGTGTAATTGTATTTTACCATTTGTTCATTCACTTTATATGCTATAACTACTCATTTTGTTTTATAGGAAAACCAGTTTCTTCACTGCTGCTTCAAATTCAATCGATCCTCCTTTTGAGTTCGGTGTTGGTAGGGTGGATTTGATGGATTGGTTTCACCCTTTGGCTTATCCAGGGCAGCCTTGGAGTGATTTGGTAATTTTTTATGGTGTAACTCTATATTAAAGTAAGATTTGGTATTTGTTTTTTGTTGTGATTTTTAGTGATTGGTAAGTAAAATTTGCTTCATTGTAGTCACTGAAATCTGTGATTTAGTTCTATGGGGACAATTGTTTTTGGTATGTATGTTAGAAAAATCAACTACTGACACAAACATAGACTCCTAATTATAGTTTAATTGTTACAATGACACAAACATATAATTTTAAATATAGTCTAATAGGTAATAATCAGATAATGGTAATTCTTTCAATCAAGTTGTGATATTATTTTGTTGTTTGGTGCTAACTAATAAAACTTGATATGCAGCATGTTGATGTGATAATGTATTATCTTCGCAAGTTTTGCAAGTATGGTCCTGATAATAGTGCAAGAGTTACTACTACTGACCCTTTTTTCATCAGTTGGGTTGTTCAAATTCATGATGCGTGGGAGACCAATGGCAAAGATGAAAGTCTGATTAGTATACATCATGAGGCTGCACAATATATAAGAGGTGATAAGATTCTTACTAATACTCCATGGGTGGATGTTGATCATGTATGCATTCCAGTCAATAGTAGTGCTGCATTCCACTGGTTTCTGGTTGTTTTTTCCATCAGAAAAAGGTGTTTATATATTTATGATTCTTTAAATGGTTATGGGGTTAAACATACCAATGCAGTAACAAGTTTGGTTCAAAAAATATCTAGAATGATACCTTTGTTCCTAGTTGCTACTGATTATTATGCTTTAAGGAAAAACATTGACTGGAATACAGATGTGCATTGTGCTGGAAGGCCAGTTGGTAATCCGTTGGTATATGGTAATCGTGAAAACATCCCACAACAATTCGACAATTCAACGTAAGTATAATGTGGCTTTTTTGTTGTTGATTATACTATGCATTGTACTACTTATGCTGATTGGGTAATATTTAGGATTGTGATTTGTATACCTGTGCTTTTGCTGATTATGTGTGTCGTGGAGATAGGAACGTATCTATGTCGGGTTTAAATGCTGAAAAACTTCGATTGAGATTTGGAGCATTTCTGTGGGAATATGGAAAGATGAAAATTGATACTAAATCTGTTAGTGAAGATGAAGCTTCTAACCAAGGTGGTCGGTCAAATCGGAGGGTCAAGGAGTAAAAAGTGTCATTTCTTAAGACAGAATTTCATGAATGTTTTATGCTTTTGAATTTTTTTTGTAATTTTGGATAGTACTTTAGTTGCGTTTATGGTATTTAGTTAGTTAGATATTGGCTTTATTCTGTGATTATGCATTTATTTGGTTGTTTTTTTTATTAAATATTGTGATAAATTTATAGTGTGAGTTTGGTTTGTACATGTATGAGTTTGGTATAAAGTTAGGTATAAATTGGGTTTTATCATTATTGAAAAATTATATTACATGCTTTTATATGATCGCTTGGATTTCTTTCAAAGTTGCAGGTTGGTATACATACCAATGTGTTTACCCAGTTTGGTACTTTTTTTCTTTCATATGTAAACCAATTTTTTTCTTTAGCATAGTGTTTTTTTTTTTTTGTGGTTTCAGTGTTAACCAAGAGTGTAGTCATAAGCCATTTATTGAAATATCAAAGTATTTTACCAAAAATTTAACCATTTAATGATTTAAAAAAAAACAGTCAAAGAAATACCAAAGTATTTTATTTATTTGTTAACCATTTAATAAACTTAAAATAAAACAGTCAAAGATTGCATACCCTTAAACCAATTCTTAAAATTTATGATTTTATCATGTTATCATCAATAAATGTTGGAAATATTTTTCATATTATTATTTACACCAATTCACATACTTAAAATACACTAAAATATGTACCACATTTTTATTTTGCGAGGTTCTAATTATATACCATAGATCGTCAAACTTGTAGTTTTTTACACCACCAATTACACCAAATAATTTATTAATGCACTCATTGTAAATTATGTATGTTCATATGTAAGATAATATACCATCATCATTATGACATTTGGTTTTAATATATACCATCATCATTATGACATTTGGTTTTAATATATACCATCATTTATACCAAGCTATGTACCAGTTGTAACAAGAGTAAACCAATTTTACAGTAAGTGAGTGTTATTTACTGTAGCGTTCAAACTAATATACTAACATTTATTACTTTTCAATTTATTGTTTTAGGTTGGTTAACTGCAAACATTTGTTTTACTAAATACACAATTATTATGATCCTTTATTTTTACCATATATTTGTTCTTATTTACCATAATTTTACCAAGAATTTGGCTTATATTTTTTATCAATATTTCTAGATATGTGACAACACGTAATCCAAAAGAGTTTATGATATCTACTATATACAACCATTTATAACAACTATGTATTCAAAAATATGAATAAGATAACAAAAAGTAATCAACTTTGAAATAAGGTAATGCAATTAAGAAACAATACATCTAATAAAAGTAATATAGTTCAACTGTATAACTGCAAAGTAAAAATAACAACAAAAATATCACAAAGCTAATTATCATGAGTTTTTTTTGGGCAAGTCTTCTTGTTATGCCCAACTATACCACATTCACTACAGGTTACTTTCCTCTTCTTCCCCTCTCCTTCGGTGAATTCCTTTTTGCGATCATTTTTTGGAGGTCTGCTAGGTTGCTTTCTTGTAATTGGTGGTAATACTACCTCTTCCAAGACATGTGATGGAACATCCCAAGTGTTTTTGCAAGGCAAGGGTTCAATTGGTATTGCATATGTATCTTGATAATTCTTATTACTATAATAAGTTGAACAATAATCATCGCGATGTTTATTCCTATGTCTGATTGCTGCAAGTGCATGACTACAAGGGATCTCATCATGTTGAAATCTGCCACAACTACACATTCGTGTATTTAGACATACTGTAAACCTCTTTGCACCATATGTAATGGTATGAAGGTGTATTGTTGATGCGCGTACCTTCATTTAAGAGCATTCATTATCAATAATAAAACCAAAACATAATATGCATAGTAGAGAATTGTTAATACTTACAAGCATACGATGAGACAAATTTCTATTGTCCTCTAACATTTCATTGTATTTACTTGTCAAGGTTGTTGTAGTATTTCTACCTTCTTCGTTGTGTTTCTCATTCCAAGCTTCAATTGTTTTTCAAACAAATTCCAACAATGGTACCACTGGTAACCTTCTTCCAACAAGAATAGCGTTATTTAGTGACTCTGCAATGTTACTTGTTAGTGTCCAAGTCCTTTTTACTGGTGAATGTGCGCGTGACCATTTCTCGTACTTTGCTTTTTGTAGATAAGCACAGTATTTTGGATTAATTTGATCCATCCTTGTCATCAATTCATCAAACTCTTGAACAGTGTAAGCTTTGGCTAAACTGAAGAATAATGGTCTAACCTCTTCTGTATCTCTGTATGTTTTCTTTAGTAAATTGGTCCATAGATGGTATATGCATGCGTAATGTCTGAATTCGGGATAAACAGCTGTAGTAGCATTCCAAATGCTCTTATTTCTATCAGAAACAAAGCACATATCTTCCCTTTCACCGAATGCATTTTTAAAATTCTCAAAGAACCATAACCATGAATCATCATTTTCTGAATCAACTATTCCGTATGCAAGCGGCAAGATGTGACCTATACAACAAATATCTTCAAAATAAATACAACATATATTGATTATATATAAAACAAATCAATCTAGTTGCGGTAATGGTATAAACAGTACCTCCTGGATCTAATGTGCTAGCTATCAACATTGTGCCTTCGTATGTTGATTTTAAATGTGTACCATCCACGACTACTATTGGTCGACAATACTCCCAGCCTCTTATACTTGCATCAAGTGCTGTAAATGAATATAAAAAATGATTTTCATCTGTTTTTTTATAATTCACAATTGTCCCTGGATATGTCTTCTCCAATATATATAGATATGTTGGAATTTTTCCATATGATTCGGCAGGGTCACCTCTTAATGTCTCGAAAGCTTTTTTTTTACCTCTCCATGCTTGCATGTATGTTAATGAAATACCATGTATCCTTAGCATGTCTGCTTGTATGTCTGTTGGTGTGTAAACGGTCTTCAGATCGACATACTTTTCAACCAACATTGCCCCAAGCACACCACTTGTTGATTGTTGCTTTGATTGAATCCGGTCCTTCAATGGACATGAATGTGTATCATAAAATTTCCTCACTTTGAATAACTTTGAATTATTCAAACATGAGGATTTAAAAACCCATAAACAGTTTTCTGTAGCACACTTTATATAGTAACTGCAAAAACTCATGCATATTAATACATGGTAAGTTGTTAAAATATATTGATAATTTTTAAAATCAACATATATAATAACTCACCAGGTAGGACTTGATCTTTTTGCAACGAAACAAAACTCTCTTAGAAATGCATATCGCTTCATAACTTCCGATATAGTTTGCTTGTTTATATAAACTTGATCCTCGGCCACCAAATAGTGTTGAGGATTTGAAATTATTTCCGTTCCTTGTGATTCTTCAATGTAACATTCCAAAATTGGATTCATGTTAGTCAAACATAGTGTGTTGGATCCCACAATATGTTGTCGCGTTGTTTGGACATTTGTTTGGTACTCAATGGATTCCATAGCTTTGTCCACACATGTCACACATAAAGGATATTTTGAAAAGAAATTTGAATTGCATCTCTTTTGATCTAAATAAACTTGCACTCCCGTATCGTTATGTATCTTCATTGGTAGAGATGGACCACTCACGAAATACCTTAGTTCCAAATGATAAATTGTTGTGTCCACTCCCAATTGTGAAGCTATAGTTGTAAGCAAGCCTTCATATTTGGTGGTTGGATCATACATAACTCCTTCAATATTGTAATCCACGTAATTGCCTGTTTAAAATAACAAATTCTTTGTTAATATTAAAAGGAACTTTCAGAATTACCTACTACAACATCAACTTATTTAGATTTGTTCATACATTGATTTTCGTTGGTATATAAGCCATTTATTGAAATACCAAATTATTTACCAAAAATTTAACCATTTAATTATCTTAAAAAAACAGTCAAACAAATACCAAATTATTTACCAAAAACTTAACCATGTAATTATCTTAAAAAAACAGTCAAACAAATACCAAATTATTTACCAATATTTTAACCATATAATAAACGTAAAAAAAACAGTCAAAAATTACATACCCTTAAAACAATTTTTAAAATTTATGATTTTATCAGGTTACCATCAGTAAATGTACGAACTATTTTGCACATTATTATTTACACCAATTCACATACTTAAAATTGACTAAAATATGTAACATAACTTTATTATGAGGTTCTAATTATATACCATAGATCGTCAAACTTGTAGTTTTTGACACCACCAATTACACCAAATTATTTATAACTACACTCACTTTAATATACGTTCATAAGTAAGATACTATAATTTGACCAAACAATACACCAAATCATGCATCAAGCTATTTGTTTGGTGTCAGCTATTAGTGACAATTATACCAGATCAAATACCTAAACAAATACAGAAATACATATTGAAAACTTATTGATATAAAATACTTGCTACCATACGGAACACATCATACCAATTAAACATAAACTTTAACTAAAAACAAATTTTACACATTCGTGTACAACAAAATCATACGAAATTGTTGAAATTACACCAAAATTGTATGAATTAATTTTGACGATCCCGAACGTCAACCAAATTGTATGAATTAATTTACACCAAAATTGACAAAATATATAAAACGAATAACTACCAAAAAGTACAAAATAGATATTTGTGAAAAATCAAATTCAATCACAAAATAAAAAATCATGAGAATTATTTTTTATATAATTACCTACTGAGTCTCATCACCCGTTGTGTTGAATTAGAATTGAGAAATTATTGGTATGCATTTTTTTCAATAATCGTTTTTTGTTTGGCCGATTTTTTAAGTCAGAGAAAGGAGTTATGTTTTTGGTAGAAAACCTTTATTTATGGGAGATAATATATAGCATATTTGAATAAATTAGGGAAGGTAAAATTATTGGAGAAATTTATGGGAAGTGGGATAAGCATGGCTGATTTGGAAAATCTTTTTTTTTTTAAATTTAAATTCTACTTTTGAAAAAAAAAGTATTGCTATATAATTGAAAAAAAAAGTATTGCTATGTTGGTGTAAATACAATTGTTAATTTGTATACTTAAAAAATCCGCCCGTATTTAAATGTGTGAGTTTTTGCGTAATGAAATTTTTTTATACCAAGGTTATTTTTATTTCTCAAGTGTCAAATCATAATATTGATCAAATCCTATTGATATAATATTCGGAATTTTAAATTATGAAATATTAAATATTTATCAACGAAAGTAATGTTTTACCTTTTTTTTTAATTATTGTTATATTCAACACACATCGTGAACAAAGCAAATTAATATTCAAGTGATTACTTATGAGTCATGACTAGTAAGCAAATAAATAAACTTAGGTACCTCTTACCTAATCTTTTTTTTTTTTTTTGTACCTCTTACCTAATCTTTTTTGCTTTCTCACACATAATTCACAAGTAAATATTAAATCTTCAAAATATATTTAATTCCTCCACTACCAAAGTATGACGCCTTTAAATTCGGATTAATGTTATAATGGAATGGTAATTATTTATTTTTTATTCTTAATTTGAGATTTTGAATTTGAGTTTGAATTTTTAATTTAAAAGATTATCTTTAAAGTGAAATTTTTCAGTAAAAATTCAAATTAGTCGAATTTTAAAGCAGATACGAACATCAAATAGAAAGAAGGAAAAAAACCATCTCAAAAATCGTAGTAGTTGACCACAATTTCGTTCTTATTCTAGGAATATTGGTAAACTTTAATTTTGATTTTTATAATATTTGATTCGGTGTATTTATTCTTGAATAAATAAGTAAAATGTGTATTTGTTATCCCTTTACATGGAAGTGTGTAACATTTAAATTATTTTATAAAAGTAATATTATTCTTAAATATAGAGTGATATTAATAGTTGGGTGAGAGCGTCATCCACGAATATGTCTCGTAAGATATGACTCAGATTTAATTAAAGCTTCAATGTGAACCTCAGACACTGACTGAAAATAAAAAAAATAATTTTAATAATTGGATAGTTGAATGATTTAACAATTAATGCAGAGTAAAATTATGTATAATAAACCCCTGCGATCCTATCTTTTTTCAGATCCTACACATAACAAGAACACGTCACTCATTAAATTTATGAAGAATTTTGAAGGATTAAGCATACACGATTCAATTAATTAAGGACTTAAAATACAATTTTTTTCCCTTACTTTAAACATATTTGGTAAGTATTATGTTATTAAGTCAACTAAACAGATTTTTTTTTGTTTTGGTTCAAATATTCATTATAGTTATTCTATTCTATTCTACTTTCTACTATATAATAAAAGGGAGTTTATGCCCAATTTCTACTATATAATATTCAAGATTGAGACTTTTCCCAATCTTGAATATTATATATTCTACTATATAATAAAAGGGAGTTTATGCCCAAGACATAATCTCCCTTTTAAAAGTCCCAATCTTGAATATTATATATTATATTTGGGCATAAACTCCCTTTTAAAATAATATATATATATATATGTCACAAATGGAAAAGTCCCAATTAAGGAAGCAACATATATCATTTACAAATGACTTAAAAAGCATTAAAAATTACAATAATTACCAATTTAAAATATTTAAATTCTACTATATAATAAAAGGGAGTTTATGCCCAAGTATAATATATAATATTCAAGATTGAGACTTTTCCCAATCTTGAATATTATATATTATACTTGGATATAAACTCCCTTTTAAAAGTCTCAATCTTGAATATTACATATTATACTTAGGCATAAACTCCCTTTTAAAAGTCCCAATCTTGAATATTTAAGTCATTTGTAAATGATATATGTTGTTTTCTTGATTGAGACTTTTCCATTTGTGACATATATATATTATTTTTAAAGGGAGTTTATGCCCAAGTATAATATATAATATTCAAGATTATGACTTTTAAAAGGGAGATTATGTCTTGGGCATAAACTCCCTTTTATTATATAGTAGAATATATAATATTCAAGATTAGGAAAAGTCTCAATCTTGAATATTATATAGTAGAAATTGGGCATAAACTCCCTTTTATTATATATATATATATATATATATATATATATATATATATATATATATATATATATATATATATATATATATATATATGTGTCACAAATGGAAGCGTCCCAATCAAGGATGCAACATATATCATTTACAAATGACTTAAAAAGCATTAAAAATTACAATAATTACCAATTTAAAATATTTAAATTCTACTGTATAATAAAAGGGAGTTTATGCCCAAGTATAATATATAATATTCAAGATTGAGACTTTTCCCAATCTTGAATATTATATATTATACTTGGAAATAAACTCCCTTTTAAATGTCCCAATCTTGAATATTATATATTATACTTGGGCATAAACTCCCTTTTAAAATAATATATATGTCACAAATGGAAAAGTCTCAATCAAGGAAGCAACATATATCATTTACAAATGACTTAAAAAACATTAAAAATTACAATAATTACCAATTTAAAATATTTAAATTCTACTATATAATAAAAGGGAGTTTATGTCCAAGTATAATATATAATATTCAAGATTGAGACTTTTCCCAATCTTGAATATTATATATTATACTTGGACATAAACTCCCTTTTAAAAGTCCAAATCTTGAATATTATATATTATACTTGGGCATAAACTCTCTTTTAAAAAGTCTCAATCTTGAATATTATATATTATACTTGGGCATAAACTCCCTTTTAAAATAATATATATGTGTGTGTGTGTGTGTGTCACAAATGGAAAAGTCCCAATCAAGGAAGCAACATATATCATTTACAAATGACTTAAAAAGCTTTAAAAATTACAATAATGTGTGAGAGAGTGTCACGACCCAAACCATCGTGATTGACACCCACACTAACCCTTCAGTGGGAGAACCATTACTACAACCCAACCAAGCAACTTAACGAAAAATTAG